TGTCACGGTGGTAGAAGTTAAAGACTTTCAACCACCTTTGGCAATTTAGACTTTATTCAACAAAACATATGTTTGTCTGTAATGGATTGACTATCCTCTTCACAACCTCAAGTATAAAAAGGATTGTTACACAAGCAGAGCAGTTCAGCCAGAGGCTCAGTTAGTCTGATTTCCCATAGGAGGGACCTCAGTCATGGTGGAATCTATGACAGCCATCTTTCAAGACCAGGTGGCCAGGGGCAATGATTCCTGCCAGATTTTGTCACTTCTGCTGAAAATGAGGAGAGATCACAGACACAAGCCTATAATAAACATAGGACCCAAGTCCTGGATAACTAATTACCCTCATGTATAAGGTGTTAGCAGTGAGAATTCCAGGATAGTTCATGGAGGTGTACTGATGTTAGGTCCTCTGAGGATCTGGGCAATCAGGCAGCATGGGCTGTGGCTCAGGCAGTGCTCTGGTCATATTCAGGGTTCTGTTACTCAAGAACTTAGTGGCCACCTGGAGTGGGACTTGTGCTTTGGTGCAATTGGTCACCCCTTTCCCCCTTACCCTTAGAAACCCTAATCCACCCCCAAATCTATTCTGCACCAGGGAGAAAACTTATCACAAGGGGGATCATCTGATTCTCATATGGACATTGACTGCAGGGCATTCCTTAAGGGAGTGCCCAAAGAATTTCAGGTTAGAAATAAAATAGCAGCAGGACTGGATTCAGTACCCCTTATTGGTCCACCATCAACACAATGGGCCAAATGAGAAATACTATAACTAACTGAGGTCTATAAACTGTATTAGAGACTCTATTAAAGGAATAGCAGAACAATTAGGCCCCAGCAGCAAAATGGCCTGGGAAAATAGTCTGGCTTTAGAAATGATTTTGGAAAAGAAGGAGGAGCCTGTTTAGTGACAGGCAGCCAATGCTGTACTTTCATTGCAAATAATACTGCTCCAGATGGTAATATTATCAAGGTGCTGGAGGGTGTAACAAGATTCACTAATGAGTTAGTAGCAAACCCAGGAATAGGTGACACTTTCTTTAATGGAATGGATCAATGCTTTAGATCATGGAAGGGAATAACTACCTCCATCCTGAGTCCTGTTATCACTGAGTTTGGGGCAGTGGCTCTAGTGGGATGCTGCATCATTCCCTGGGTAAGAGGGATGTGCAAAGCCTGATAGAGACAGCCCTTACTAAGTCATCCTCACTTGCCTACAAAATCAAACTACTAGTATTATAAACCTCAGACCAAGATGATAAAAGTCAATGATTGTTCAGTTTGAAGAAAAGTATAACAGTGTGTCACAAAGAAGGGCAAATTTTGTGTAAAAAGTAAACTTTTTTATGAAGGGGGATATTTTTAATAACTCCATCTATAAGAATTTATTATGCCAAAATTCTTTTTGTAAAATGTGCACATAGTTATTTTCCCAATTCTTACAGGAATAACTTGGGACAATATGGCCATATGCTAGTCCACCTGAAGTAAAACTTTGTAACAATGATTCTTCTGGGTCGCGGCTTCTGTTCTGGTCAGCACTACAACTCCTTAAGAACTATGGAATCAGGTGAACGTGTGAGACCATGTTTCTACTAATAGAGCATGTCAGAGTGACAACAGTGAGTCCAGAAATAAAGCCATGTGGAGTGACTGCCTGGCATGCTGCCTGGCAATGTCTATGCTAGCTATTTCCCCCTCTGGAGAAGTCAAGCTTTGCTGAAATACTTTCAAAGACTTTTATCTGGTTCTGTCGTGAACACAGGGATTTTCTCTCTGACACAGTATTTTCCAAAAACTATCAAAATATAAGTTCCAACAAATATTAAGTTATTTCTACATTTAGAATTATGCAACATGATATAGGGATGAAAAAGATATTATAAGATAGAAAGAACTCTAATATATCTCAGATTGAAAAGTCACCTACTATTCATATATGGAAAGAGAGTTGAATATGGAAAAAAGTGATAACAGCATCAAAGTAGACATTATGAGATTAGGTCATTGACACGTTCTTTGTTGAATAGGAGTTTGGGGACAGGACCTGGTTGGAATGTGGAGGCCATGTGGACATGACTGGGAAAGCTCTCGTCTCCACCTGACCCTCTCTTCTCACCTCTTTTTCTCTTTTGAACCCCACCTTCCACTACCCGTGTAGCTTCTCAGGCCATTCTCTTATGCTTTTCTGCATTGGAGTTGGTCAATAATAAACTGCAACCTCAGAAATTGTGTATTACAGTAAAACTTTTATTTCTCTGAAGTGTTGGCCTTAAATATTTTGGAAGAAGAAGAGTGACTAATGCCATCTCTCATGTTCATGAGCTTACAGAATTGATATTGTTTTCATGATCTTGTCACAAAAGAGATCTGTATATTCAGTGAATTCCAATGATGATATTAAATACAGTTCTTTGAAAGATGAGAAAACTAATCTTACAATTCATCAGCAAAAGACACACATGCACACACACACCCAGATGCAAGCCTAAGCAAAACAATCATCAGAAAGTTGAGGAAAGCTAAAAATCAGTGCAATATTAAATATCCTTGTATTAAAATGAAAGTACAAATACTGACAGAATATTGCCATAAACAGAGACAGAAGCAATAGACTGGAGGACACTGAAAGAAAATTACATACTAACAGCTATCATTTTCCTGAAAAGAAGACAAGCATATGTATTGAATAAAAACTAGTGTGATAAATATTTTCAGAAAACTGGACCTTCATAAATAGATAATTAGAAGTGGATTCCAAACTTTCACAATGTAAAAAATGTCCACTGAAAGTATATCAAATACCCAAGTATATTGCCACATTTATTTGAACAAGAAGATAGGAGAAGGAATTGGTTTACTCTGCAAGCAAATGTAAAAGTTTCCTGAAAAGGACTCCATTAGAAAATAAACAGGATAAATAATCAACAAATGGGGTAATATCAAACAAAAAGCTATTGCACTGCAATAAAAACAATGCCAAATGAAGACATGAACTATACAACAGAAAAAACTCTTTGAGAACAATCCTTAGTACAGAGCAGTACAATCATATATCTATATACATATGAATACATAAGCAAAATTAAAATAAAATACATATGCATCAATAGAAAAGAAAATGATGTACATAGTCATTTCTCCAAAGAAGAAATGAAAAGAGAAGAAATTAAGTGAAAATAATTTCCACATCATTACTTATCTTTGAATTACAAATCTAAACTCCCTTGAGATTTCATCTCACCAATGAGAATGAGGATCATATAAAAGCAATAATAAATTCTCTTGAGTATTTGAAGTAAAACTAGATATAAATTTCTCTTGTAAATGATTAAAGTCATTATTAAAATCACTGTGAAGATTCCTGAAAAGACTAAATTATGACCTACCATTTTATCCTACTTCTTAAAAAGTTGATACATTTCCTAAAGAATTCCTAAAGTATTCCTACTCTTTAAATATCTTTATTCCAGAAAAATACATATCTTCCTAGCTATGAAAACTTCTTAGGTGCACAAAGGAAAATGGAGGAAGGCAGGGAATGTGTATTTATGCATAATGAAGTATTTGTTCGACACACAAACTAAACAAAACCAAATATGCTATGATTAAACCTGAGATCATGTTGCATAAAATGAGTCAGATTAGTAAGGTAAAATACCATGTTTTGTCTCATAAACAGAATGTGGAAGAAAATCTGAGATCGGATTGGCATGTTAGTAAAGGGAAAATCATTAGAGAAGTAGAGGATGAGAGGAAGGAGAGAGGAAAAGGCAAATATCTAAGGGGAAAGAGAAAAGAATCAAAATGTGTTGTATGCATATGCAGGTTTTATAAAATGAAATGTATTAGTGCCTCAAATTAACATACAACTAATAAAAACACCAAAGATTGTCACTGAAATTGAGTAAAAATGGCAAGTGTCAAATTATATGCTCTAGGCATTAGTCAAATTATAGGTTGCAGGTATTTGTCCAATTATAGTTCATAGGCATTTGATATTGTAGAATTCGGTAAAAATTAATCACACAAATTAAAATGGAAACAAAAATCTGTGCTGGTACACAGGGAAAATCTTTAGTGAGTCCTATAACAAAATCAGATATACACAAAATTAATTTCAATACATACATATTGTTGTCTCCCAAATCTGAAACAATGATAGGAAAGCACATCACTTGTGATGTTTCACTAAATTAAATGATAACACTTGTGACATTTTTCACAGGGTCCTCAGTTACATTTTAGGAAACATCATTCCCTTCACCAAAGCCACATCTCACACATGCCCTGGCCAGGCTCCCATCTGTATTGAAGCATGAGTCTGTGGTTCTCACCTGGACTGAAAATTTGGGCAAATCTTTCTCATCCCATCACCCACAGCAATGGAGATGCCTTGAAAGGGATTTGGGAGAATATTGGGGAAGAGGAGGTTGAGGGGAAGGAGAGAGGAAATGTTAAGGAGGAAATGAGGGGCATGAGAAGGAAAATTTGTGATATATGCATTTACAAATAGGGTTAAATGAAACATAATTTTCTGTATGAGTAATACAAATCAATTACAAAGAAACAAGTGATAACAAAGTCTGTCACTTAAACTGAGTACATACGTAAACAGAGGTCCAATGATAAATTGTACAAATATAGAGCAATGGATACTATAGAAGTTTGTAAAGATTAAATTATGGAAAATTAAAATGGTGACAAGAGCCTGTTCAGGCATAGAGAGAAAAATCTTTAATGGAATCTCTGAGGACAATAGCCCCTATATGAAATGGTAACTCCAGTGTATACATAAATCTTCTATCCAACTGCAGCAAAAGAAAAGATAGATACACATTCTGGAGATGGTCATGTAAAATAAATCCTGAGAAAACTTGAAAAGCTCATGCATGTCCTCTCCCACAGTGTACACAGCATCACTCACTTTAAAAGCCTTCACTTTGCATACCGACCATGCTGCCACCTGCACTGAAGCACCACTCAGTGGTTCTTACCTGGACTCTGAAGTTGAGGAATAACTCTTCTTTCCACCATCCACAGCATTTCTTTGTCCACTGAAAGAAAATTTAGATCTGATTCACAGAGCTGGTATCCTGTTCAGGGAAAAGCAAGGAAGCACATTTTTATTTTTGTGTCAACAAAAATATTTTGATCAGTACATGAAATGCAATTGAGAAGAAATAAGGAACTAGAGGTTAGACCTAGGAAATATGTTCAGAAAATGTCATTGAGTGAATTTTTGAATATTAAAAGGAAATCTAGCCTGTTGCAGACAGACAGGTCTGTGCAAGCCCTACCGAGGTCCCAAGTCATGCAGAAGGTGCCAAATCACCCTGCTGAAGACAGGCAGCCACCTGGTTCCACACTTCAAAGACGCAGAGGGCACCAGACCACCAGACCACAGTACTGAGTCCTGCTGCTCCCGGCCCAGAGGTAAGGGCTTCTGAGCCGCCATCCCAATGCTCCTGGTCCAGAGGAAGGGGTATCCCAGTCACCATCCCTCTAGCTGCTCCCAGCCCAGAGGAAAGGGCTTTTGGGCCACCTTCTGTCCCACTGCTCCTGGCCCAGAGGAAGGGGCTTCCCGGTCACCATCCCTCATGCTGCTCCCAGGCCACAGGAAAGGGCTTTTGGGCCACCATCCCTACCACTGCTCCTGGCCCCTGTACCACCTCTCCCAGCTCAGAGGAGGTATTTCATGCAGGTGCTAACAGCCCCCCGCCCCAGTCAAAATGAGAAAACATATAAATAAGTCTCAAAACCAGACTTCCAGATCACCTACAGCAACCCCAAAGGGAAATGAGATGGAA